ATTTTTGATGATTACGATGAAGATGTATTTTTACTGGACCTGAGGCGAGCAACCATTTTGGAAGACACCTTTGAACAACTGGCGGATGCTTGTGACACAGACTACAAGAAGCCACTTAGAGTAAAAACAACAAGCCAACTCAAAATGTTTGCATTGTTGTGTACACATTGTTATATAAACAATATTTTGGCATACAACAAATTTTGTTTACTTTTTATAATTTTGTCTTGTAGGTCTTGTTTGATGAAATGATCGATGAGGTCTACAGGAAAGACTTTTTTTATGAAGTCTTTCATGACTTGATCTCAGCTGAATCTGGAATGTTCATGTTCAATGACTCTGAAACACTGGCATGGTTCTCCTCAAAAGTAAGAGTTACTAAGTTACTAAAAATATAATTGAAATAGACCGACACTGACTTCTAAAACTATTTAACAATTGTGATTGCTGATTTATTACTCCTTAATTCAAGAAAACAATTTCAAATGTCTCTACTGTCAGCATCAGGCAACTCAGGAAGACCAGCGTTTCTTCCTGTTTGGAGTTCTGTGTGGATTGGCCTTGTACAACCAGTGCATCATCCACTTACCCTTCCCACTGGTGCTGTTCAAGAAGCTGCTCGGTGTAAGGCCTTCACTGGAGGATTTGATAGAATTCAACACAAGTGTTGGAGAGTAAGGGGGAACGTTCCCTTGTATTTGCTGTATTGCGCAAATATTTGTAGTGTTAGGTGCTGATTGGTTCCACAAATCATCTTAAAGTATTTTGTGTTTAAAGGAGTCTGCAGTACATTCTGGAGGACTACAAAGATGATGACTTGGAAAACCTGGACATGTATTTTTCGGTAGGTGTTTAACACAACTTTAAGTTAAAAACGGCTTTGATATCAACTCGCTTCTTCAATCAATAATATCTATTTTTCCCCCAACAGATCAACTGGGATGGAAAGGACATTGACCTTGATCCTGAAAGTCCTGAAAAGTTGGTGACAAGTCAAAATAAGTGAGGACAATGGTAGCATTTTTTCATAACATGAGTTTTAAAACCAAATATAGTATTGTCCTGCCAAAGAGAAGCTAGAGATAATAACAAGCCATCACATAATATCTAACGACTCTACCAACAGTGACAGTGACAATGGAGCTGACAGAAAGCTATAACTGGATGTCATCTGCAAAGAAACATACATTAAACTGTTTTGTGACCAAGCAGAAGCATTTAATTAGAAAAAGTACCAAGACTCGGTGTATATCCAGGGCTCTAGAGTGCGACCAATTTGGTCGCAAATG